CCCCAAAACCCCAAAACCCCAAAACCCCAACTAAATTCCTAAAAATTGAAATTTTCGGAAGAACATTTTGTAAAGACTTAATGAATTTTCCCAATATAAGCAATCTTTAATTATATTTAATGGATCTTATCTCTTAGTATACTAAAAATAAAACTTTAAGATGTTAGAAATCTTTTGCTAACGTGAACCTAATCTACAAAACCTGAACTGAAAAAAAGCACAATTCCAAACCCTCTTTTTCTCTTTAAATTCAGATATCCACACTTAATCTAATATTTTTAATGCTTAGGGATCTCTGGAATCTCCAACAAGTTCCGATTACTTCTTAAACAAGAGAAGCGTTGGCTTTTAGACAGACTAGGGAGTGATAAATGCTCTACTTGTTGTCTTGAACTTGAACTCGAACTCTAGGAATTTATTACACACAGGATTTTAATGGCAATACAGACTACTTTGAATCGAAGTTCGACAGTATAAACTTACTTCTTGATTATTTATCTTCAAAAAATCTTTAATGTTATTTTTTTGAGGAAAACATATCTTCCTTTTATATAATCATACTTAATACATACCTCGATTTTCTTGTGAGCTATTCTATTCTGAGCATCAATTTTGTTAGAGTTATAGCTATATCTCTCGAAACTTTCTGAAGTTTCATAAGATAAGAATTCTCTCAAATGATAAAGGAAATGCTCAATAAGAGCGGTAGCTAAAATGATTACAAATACATTTGAAAATATTAGTCGCCAGGAGCCTAACTATTGCTAGAAATCGTGAAGCTATTTTCTTCTTGAAAAAGTTGCTATGGATAAATTTGATAAGGCACTAATCTTGAAGAAGCTCTTTGAGTAAAAATTTATCTCTTGGTCCTGAGACTTCTTGTATTATGCTTGATTAGCATAAGAATGTTAAACCGTAATCAGATTAGGGAAATTGTAGAAAACTTGAGTAGACTTGAAGATATTGCCAAAAGTGTCATTACATCATGAGCTAGCTTTGTAAAATATACCTCATAGGTATTTAAACAATAAGGTTGATAATCAAGATCCTACCTTTCCTATGAGCTATCCTTCGCCTATGATTTTATATGCTTTTTTAGCCCTTTTGGTACTCTTTTTATGCTTTTTCTTCTTATTTGGTGTCTGCACCTCCGCTCTAATAACTCTTCCTTTCTTTTCTTTGCAAAGCAAGTAAGTCAGGAACTTAAAAATCTAAAATTTATAGTCATACATTTACTGTTTGTAGCACTTTGGAGGAATCTTACATTGATTTGGATAATAAATACAGCCAATTTGTCAGAAATATAATGTTTATTATCACACAGAATATCATTGTTCAAAAGTTTCGAACGCTAACATCTGATTCTTGCGAGTACAGAAACCCACTGAAGATAGTAAAATTGTTTATAGTTCTTTCTTAATTGAGTTTACCCGCTTGTTACTTACTCAATTTCCATTTCTTATATTCATTATTTATTATAACTTCAACTTAAGAAATACATTAGGGGTTTTGGGGTTTTGGGGTTTTGGGGTTTTGGGG